CCATCCAGCTTCCTGTCCCTCACAGTGGCCCCACCAGATGCCTCTGGGAACACACAAGACAACTAGATACCTGTCTCCTGCTACCCCTCCCCTGCATCTGCCATTTTGAAGTACCTTTCTTTTAAACCTAGAGATTATACATTCCATCATGGCTTGTAACCTGCAATGGACTTTTTGTCCAGAAATCTGTCCAATCCCCTTTTCAAGGCATCTAGGCCAGATGCCTTCACCACATCCTGTGGCAAGGAGTTCCACAAACTAACAAAATGCTGGGTAAATAAATTTTCTCTTTTGTCTGTTCTCACTCTTCCAACACTCAATTGGAGTGGATATCCCCTGGTTCTGGTATTGCGTGAGAGGGAAAAGAGCTTCCCTCTATCCACTTTATCCATCCTCTGCATAATTTTATATGTCTCTATCATGTTCCCCCTCAGGCGCCTAGACTAAAGAGCCCCAAACGCTGTAGCCTTTCCTCATAAGGGACATGCTAAATTCATGTTTAACATGAATTAGTTTTTAGTTATCTTACAATCTTCAAGCATGAAAGGCTATTTTTAGCAACCAGACTCCCATCAGTCATTTTGCCTGAAAAAAAAAATCTCTTCCTTAATATGTGATAGATTTTTTTTGCAAACGCTCAATTGTTGTTGTTGTTGTTGTTGTTGTTGGTAGTAGTAGTAGTAGTTCTTCCATTGAAATCAAAGTGTGCCATGTGGTCAATGCAAAATATAAATGCAAGAGTAGGAGATACCTTTATAGACCACTAAAATCATCCCACACTCTTCCTTTCTGCACTTCTCCTGACTTACATCTAAGAAAGACGTACTTGACTAAATCCATCTTGCCAAGAATGTTTGGACTTTTAAGTTCTTCACGCTGGCACAATCCTGATTAAGTGGGGTTCATCCCCAAAAGCTCATGTATTCTATGGTGATTTTAGTGGTCTATAAAGTTATTGGCTATTCTTGCATTTCTAGTAGTATCCCCATGCCATAGCAGAGCTAAATCAGTACACCAACTATATCTGTGCATGCCATTGTAGTCTGTGGCCACTGTAATTCTCCATTGCCCTTGTGAAGTACTCATAATTAACTAGGGCTGCAATGCTACATTCACTTACCTGCTAGTAAGCCCCACTGAACTAAGTGGGACTAACTTCTGAGTAGACAGATAAAGGCTTGAGTTCTAAATTAATCCTTAAGGGTGCAATTTAAAAGGTGAGGAGACATGGCACGCCATACAAAGATTTCCCGAGTGTACCAAAGCCACAATTAGAGCTGGACAACATTTTATTTCTTCCTTCTACTGTCTACCCTGGGAGATAAACTTTTTAGGGGAAGCGTGAGTCTGCCTGCAACCTTTGCTTATCAAATTTTGCCACCTTCAGTAGAGGAAAAATGTAAGACAGGGTGGAGGACCAGTAGAGACTGCAGCAGGAGGAACTTTGTAACTCCAATGCTGCTTCTCAGGTCATAGTTAACTTAAATGTTTTGCTAATATTAATAATATCTATACAGTACTCCCTTGGCATGGTTATCAGTGCAATTTGGGACAGAGATTCAGAGACTGGAAGCACTGGCTACCATCTAACAATCGGGAAAAACAAGATCATGTTTTTCTTCTAGAACCTGCTTGCATTTGGGAAGACTTAGCTGTATGAATCATGCCATATGACCTGTGAGTGTTAGTCTTACTACATATGAATGGTATAAGGTCCATCTAGGGAAATAAATGTAATATTTGAACTCAGATGATTAAACTAGTTTTGTTGTGCTTTTAATTTGTAAAGTTATTAGTTACTTTTGCAAAGTAATGTAAAGTAAAATTAATAAGACATGAACATGATGATAGGAAAAATCAGATGGCATGTTTAGAATGGATTGCACCCTCCAAGACCTTCTATTTTTTTTTTAAAAAAAAGTCTTAAATAAAACATTCCACTGGCACAGAAGCTGTGGTGCAATAGAACTTTCTCTTGCCCTTTCACCTCGCACTCTTGACATCTTCCAAAAACTGGTTTGAGAAGGTTTCCTTCCCTCTGAAGCAGATTCTTGGTGGTGTGCAAATGTATTAATGGGGAAAGTAAATTACCCCACTCCAGATTCCATCAGCAGAAGCAGTTCCACCACAGTTGTCCCTCTCTCTGGATTTAAGCCAGAGTGCAACAATAAGCAAGTTGGTTAAAGCAACAATATAAATAGAAATGCCCTCTATAAATAGAAAGCTTCCCTCTTGTGAATGATCTGCAGTAGAACACCAGGACGTTCTTGCCAATGACATACTATGAAAAGTTGCCATTTACAAGCTGGAACTTCTACAGGATGCAGTGTTGACAAGTAATTAACATATTTATGGATAATTTGGTGGCTAACAAGATGAGTGACAACAACTGGGATTCTGTAAATACTATTTCCCTAAATCTTTTTATCCCCAGTGTTATGGGGTGGGGGTGGAGCCAAATATTGGATATTTGTTCTATGGTAGCCTTCCAGTGTGGCTTGACTCCCAGCTGGGCTGTATTGTCACCATTTTTAGACACTTGGAGAGTTTTGCTCTCTGAGTTTGCTACCTAGGGGACTCTTATCTGTTTAGAGAGGCTATTAACAGCCCCTAGGTCATTGCAACACAATGGCTGGTATCTCCAGCTGCAGAAGCTGCCATGGCAATCTGCCAAAGTGTCAGTCACACGCAGTCACAGGTCTAATTGTGTGACCTAGTCAGATCACTGTGGCAGCTTCTGTAACTGGAGCTCCACTCGCATAAATATTGAACACAATACTGGCCAATGCTGAGCACCTGTTTAGCTTTTAGATCTCCTTATAATCCTGCATCTAATTTTTGTCTTGTTTTAGTAGCCAGTAAACCAGAAGCTACAACTGCATAGTCAAACACTGTGGCATTTGCTCTGAATATAAAATAAATGAATTTACTTCTTCTTTTTACTGATCACATGCTGCAAACGCCAATTTGAATCAATCCAGGTCTTTTTGCTCCCATTGTGGAGGATTTTTTTCTCACTGCTGCTGAGGGCTTCTACTTTTTCCAAGCTGGAACAATTTGAACCGATTGTCCCCCATGTGATTATAAGAATACCACCTGAGTGTGACTATAAGTGGTATTCCAGTGATGTACTAAGCTGGGCATGGTGTTTTGGAAAGCAGGAACACTCAGCACCTACAATCATTCCCCCTAGTTGCCCCAAAGTATTTTTAAAACAAATTTTGAGTTTAGCACTAGATCACCTTGATAAACTCGTTTAGTGCTAGATTACCTCTGCACTGACCAAAAAAGGAGGCTAAAAATGGATATAAATTTGAAACAACTCCAACAAGCTACAGCATACTACTATGTTTTCACAATATACTGTACATGTATGTGGTTATACGTTATGGAGAACTTTGGGAAATTGTCCATTTTGCCTAGTGCTGTGCAACACTTTAAGCAGCCCACCAACTTTACAATTAACTGTAAAAAGAGAGTGAGGGATTGGCAAAGGGTACAATCAAAAGAAGGGAGGGCTGTGGGACACATTGACCCCATCAAACTGAGGGGCCAGTATGGATGCTGGCACTGAAACAGTCTGCTGTTTCTGTCTGATCATGTAATCTGAATACAAGTGTAAAATACGCTGTGAATCAAGCTGCAGCAAAGCTGCATCACTCTGTTTCAGCGTGCCAGTACAGTTACAGTCAGAGTCCAGTTAAAGTCACTCTGCATATCTTATCTATCTTATCTATTAATTTTAAACAAATTGTATCCATAGAAAGTGTGGAATCTATTTTGTTCAGATTGCCATATTGGACTACCTATTGTTCTAGACTGGTGGTATAAATTTTGTAATGCTAATCTACCATCTATAATCTTAGAACTGCAGAACTGGGAAGGAACCCTCTGGATCATCTAATCCTGTTCCTGTCAAGGAAGCACAGTGGGGAATCGAACTCAGCCTCTGGCTCCACAGAGCAAGATCTGTTGTGCTAATGGTTATACACTTTCAGAGTTAGCACAACACCAGTGGCAGCAGCCAAAAAAGTCTACAGGATACCCTCTTCTGCTCACTATAATTTACACTGGTTAAATAACAGCCTTGACAATTGCTTTGTGTTTGGGTAAAAAGTGGTTAATTGACCAAAAAAAAAAAGAGTCAACTTCTGGGATTTTCCCTTGCATGCTGTCACTTTGTGAATGATAGTGAGCAGAAAAGAGTACCCTGGAGACCATCTTGACTGCTGCCACTGATGGTGTCAACATTCCGGCTGCCCTTTGCTATATAAAACTTGCCATCTTTTTTTCCAGTTGGCAATGCAGGCACAATATTCTGCAGCAATACTGGAGCATTTCCTGGCTTTTTAAATAATGGATACAGAAGCACAATATCCCACATTCATAAACAAGAGGGTTTTGTTTTGTTTGTTCAAGACTGGAATCAATTCTCTAACCACCTCCAAATCTTGGTTCAAGAATTCCAGTCACCCTGGATTGGGAGGTGACAAGAAACGCATTTGGGGAAAGATTGTAATGATTGTCACCCTCATTTTACATTCCAAAGTGGTCCCAGCCTTTCTATGACCTCATTCTCACTGAATGTGTATAACCAGCCCTGTGATATTGCACAGAGACAAAAATATTCCAGTGGTAGGTGTTCTGCGGTGTTCTACAAGTTCCCTCTTTAGAGATTCATATTAGTTGCTTGTCTAAACAAACTCATGGCTGAGGTAAAGAGGTAAAGTCTGATGCTGGGACACAATGAAAATATTCCAGTGGTAGGTGTTCTGCGGTCTGGTTCCAAAATATTCTGGTTCCAAAATGAGTATGAGTAATTTCTGAGTAATTTGATCTAGTTCTGAAAAAAAAAATCTGCACAAATTTTGTACAGAATGTTGTAGGTAGATGTCAGGGGAGAGAATATGGAAGATAGGCATGAAATTTTTAATGTTGGAAAGAAAGAAAGAGAGAGATTGAGAGAGAGAAGTAAAAAGCCCTTTCTATTTTTTATTCAGCTTCAGCATTCATCAAGAAACCAAAGACAACTGATGCTGTAGTAGGAAATGTTGCTGTTTTTGAAGCAGAGACAGAGAAGACAGGAATTAAGGTGAAGTGGCAGCGAAATGGTATAGAAATTGCTGCAAGTGAGAAATACGTCATCAAGTCAGAGGGGAACAAACACTCACTGACCATTAATAATGTTGGAAAAGAGGACGATGTGACTTATGCTGTCATTGCTGGAAGTTCCAAAGTCAAGTTTGAACTCAAAGTGAAAGCACCAGGTAAATGGTTTTCAGCATGGATGCAGTAACTGGCTTGTAGGGTTATTGAAGTTTTCATGAACAACCTAATAGGACTGTTAAAGAGAATATATTGTATTAAATAAAGGGCAAGTGGCATTGTTACATATGGAAAGCTACTTCTTTGCTAATTTGTTCATTTATTTATAATATTTTTTTGCCCTGCCTTTCTCCTTAAGAAGGACCCAAATTGACTTACAGAATTAAAATACAATATTTAAAGCTAAAAACAGTAAGTATACAAATACTAAAAAGGATCAAACAAATGCCACACGAGAAGATGGTAAACAGAAGCAACATCAAAAACACATTCAAAGCAGTAAAGCACAATCATCCATTTTAAAAACCCACTGAGGCAGCCAAGGGATCCATTTTAAAAACCCACTGAGGCAGCCAGTGATTAAGGGAAAGTTTGCCTGAAGAGAAAGGTCTTTACCTGCTTGTGGAAGGATAGCAAAGATGGGGCCAAGTGAAGTCTAATCTGCAAATAAACTTGCTAGCCTAAATGGCATAATACGTTAGTAGCCAGCCAGTTGCTTTTGATGTTTCTGTCTTGGCTGAATGGAGGAGGAAGTGATCTATCCAGGGGAGGAATGGACCATCTCCAATACTTGGGGTGCTCGTCCCACCTTCCTATATGGTTTGTGCCATCACTAAATGGCAGTACCCCAAAACCCCTTCACTAGGTTTGGAGTTGCTATTTAACCTGTAATAGGGACTACTTCCATGGGAATATTCCTTTTATCGAAGCAGGCAAACAGTCAGTATTCTCTTTCCATAGCTGCATAAGCACTACCACCACTAAAGACTGAATTTAATAGAATCTCTGGGCACATATCCAACTAGTCAAAACCTAGTTATTTATTATATATACCAACATGAGCTTATGGGCAAGAGATAAACAGTGTGGAATAATCACTGGGGGCTACAGAGGGAAGAGGGAATATGGACATATATCACCATCCCCCCCCTTCCTGACAAGGAAAGCATTCTGGTGGGACTCCATCTAGTGACATTACTACTAGAAAAATAAAATTCTGGACCTAGCTCATAAACTGTTCCTGTATTTCTACATTTCTGGCTGAAGGTGTTTTTTTAAAAAAAGAAAAATCAAAGTGTAAAAACAAACAACAAAAAAGAGACCAATCCTATAAACAAAAGTGCATGTTAAAGCAATGTTGCATTCTCTCAATCCTAACTTACGTAACAATATAAAAGCTATGTCCCATGAAGTTGCTTCTGACTTACAGAAAATTTAAGAATTAATAACCTCCAACAGGTCATGCCATTCATCACACCTTGTATAGATGTTGTAAAGTAAAGGCCATGGTTTCCTTAAGAGAGTCAATCTGTCTCATGTTAGATCCTCCTTTATTCCTACTGTCTTCAAATATTGTCTTGCAGGAAGCTCAAATAGGTTAAATGTTTTTACTGCTAATTTTAAAGTTTGTTGCCAATTATGAACTCTTGTGTGTCCCCGTAATAGGACCTACTGTAGACTGTAACATGAAGTACTTACCAAAGTAGCATACTGTCTAGCCTCCATTTTATTCAGAACAATCACATTTTCAGCATATTTTCCTGAAACAATGAGCTCTCCGTAATTGTCATTGCACTCTCTTCCTTGCATCTAGAAAAGATGGAAGAGGTCCCACCTTCTGAAGAGGTGTCTAAACCAATTATTCCAAGTGCTCCTCCTGAAGTTAGATCTGAACCAACTGTGTCAAGTTCATCTACAGCTGCAGATACTGGATCCAAAGACAACAGCAAGAGCTCAGAAAGTAAATGCAATACTTGTACTATCCTTCTAAGAGCTACCGTTCACAGTATCGTAGAGATGTCATCTCTACCTAGAGATGACAGTAAGGAAACCTTGGATATTTCACATGCAGACCATACACTCTACAGTGTAATGAAAAGTTGTATGATGTATGAGGCTGCAATGAAGCAGAAAAAGTTGGCTGTAAAAAAGAGAAACAGATTTTATTATAATAACTCCACCCATAATAGAAAAGTGAGGGCATGATCAGACAGCTTCAAAGGCATGTGCTAGATCACACCAGAAAGGGTTTCTTTAACAGAAGCAATATCTCTTTAAACAACCATTCCATCTGCTAAGGAATTGCTCCATCCCATCCCTCAAAAGTAGAAGATCTAGCTTGGGCACGGATTGGGGTTGGACTGGAATGCATTTCCACATGTGTCATGTGATTGTTGAGAAATATATCACACTGGACTGCTTCACAAGCTGTCCAAATTGCAATCTATTTCTTTGTGGGTCCACACCCTTGATTAAGATGCTACAGCAAAACTACTATGGAGAACAGGGTGGAAATCTATATTGAGGATAGCTTAGAAATAATCCATTCCACACAAAGTGTTTTTGGAAGGGGAAACAATATGAAATTTAAGCTTGTTTTTTTCAGCTCTTCCAGCAGAAGTCCCAGAAAAGGTCTCTGTGGACCCTATTGGTATTTTTGTATCTCGACCACAGAATGGAGAAGTCACTGTTGGTAAGTTGAAAGACCTGATAGAAAAGGTGCTTCTGCTGACTGTGGTCAAACAGAAGGCTCCTCACCCTGGCAAATATAACACTATGTGCAGTTAAGCTGCCTCTTCTTCTTCTTCTTCTTTTTTCTTAATGGACTTTTCATGGTGTAAAAAAGATGGTGGAAAAGGCAGAAAAACAGGGGAGAGTTACAAATGGAGAACATGATGCCTGAACCCCCAAACATGATTAAAAGATCCACCTGAACCTATCGTGTCCCTCTCCATAGATATATGCTAGTGTTTTAACAGAATGCTATACCTCAAAGCACATATTTATCTTATTATTTATCCTGGCAAGGTGGGAACATCACATTTACTGCTATAGTAGCAGGGGAAAGCTTGCTGAAGAAACCTTCGGTGAAATGGTTCAAGGGGAAGTGGATGGACCTTGCAAGCAAAGTGGGGAAACACCTCCAACTGCATGAGACATACGATCGAAATAACAAGGTACTACTGGCAGTCATGGACTTGATTTCAACATCTTTTGTAGGCTCTTTTCTATCAGTTCAAGATATAAAAATATTCTTTTCTTGGGGTCACTATTGCTAATTGCATATACTGTAGTTACCACTTCTGTTGTTAGTTGCTAGTTACCAGTTCCCTTTCTGTCACAAAACATTCTCAAACACTACTGCCATTTGCAACCTGCAAGCATCCATGCTCTGGCACCAAGATTTGTACCACAGTGTCTGGGAAATGTATCATTCGTGTATCTATGGCACCAGCTGGGAGATTAAGAGTTTTCTTATATTTAATTGCATTATGTTCTTCGAGAACAGGGATCTCCAAACTTTTCAGCATGAGGGCCACATCATATATTTTACACATTTTTTAGGACTGAAGGAACACACTGCACACATACTCATGCACTCACACAAGCACGCATGGGCTGAAGGGAACAGACCTGAGCCTCAGGCGTTCGCCGGGCCAGATAAAAAGGCCAAATGTGACCCCAGGCAGTAGTTTGGAGACCCTTGTTCTAAAATATCTGAACTCCATAAACAGCCAATTTGCTTTTTTGTTTTGTTTTGGAATGTCCCTTGACAGCAGTGTTTACAGGATGTCCACTTTTTTCACGTATATGTGGTCATGAAAAAAAATTAACAGGAAAACAAGATCTAGGACAGAATTAAACAAGTCAGCTGCAGTGAAAAGAAGAGATAAAGAAATAATGTAGTTCGTAATGCTCACTGGGCCATCCACCAACAAAAAGGATTCTAAGTATGGAGATTTACACCTATGCTTTGGTACTTGAGTAGAAAGATCTGAACCATTGCTTGGGAAATCAGAAATGGAGTGGTTATAGAGGCCAAGCTTGCTGGGGGATTTTAGGGGCAGTTGTAGCTGACGAAAAATAACTCTTCCAAGTTTTCGTCTGAATATACAATGCCCAATAAGATATCGTACCAAGATACAATAGAAAAATCTGTTTGTTTTCACTTACTGGAAAGACTCAATTATTTCTTCTTTTTAAAAAGGTTTATGTATTTGAAATGAACATTATTGAAGCAAAACCAACTTATTCTGGAGGATATAGATGTGAAGTGGCAACTAAGGACAAGTTTGACAGCTGTAATTTTAGCCTTCTTGTTCACGGTAAGATGACTGTTTTTCATAATTGCTGGGAGTTGCCCAGCTTAATTTCTCATCATTGCATACTGTATAACTTTTTAAAAAGGTTTATGTATTTGAAATGAACATTATTGAAGCAAAACCAACTTATTCTGGAGGATATAGATGTGAAGTGGCAACTAAGGACAAGTTTGACAGCTGTAATTTTAGCCTTCTTGTTCACGGTAAGATGACTGTTTTTCATAATTGCTGGGAGTTGCCCAGCTTAATTTCTCATCATTGCATACTGTATAACAATGCATTGCCTTCCCTGGAGTCATGCAAATTGAGGCAGGATTACAACTAGGTAAAAGGAAGAGGGGAAGAGGGTCCTTTTGTCTTTGTTTTATTTATTTATTTACAATATTTTTTAGCCACACCATTACCAGTGGCTTTATTAATAATATTAGTGTGCCATCAAATAATTCCAATTCAGGATGACCCTTCCCAGGTTTTTCTATGTAGAGAGTACTCAGAAGTAGTTCACAATTCCCTTCTTCTGGAAGCCTCTAGGCATTAGTTTGCCTAATGTCACACAAATTGGCTCTTCTCCAGAAAGAGGAGACAAAGTGGAGAAGCAAAGACTTGACCTCTGACTCCACAGCCAGCTACCCAACTCACTGAGTTATCCAACCAGCATTAGGAATAAGACAATCCATATAACTTTTTATCACTATAGTTATAGAAGTTTTCTTCCTTTGTGATTTTGAAGAATATGCATTATAGAACTGCTGGGTAACTCGATGGTTTAGGTATCTGGCTTTGGAGCCAGTGATGGGGAGTTCAATTCCTCACTATGCCTCCTTGACTCAATGATCCATAGGGTCCCTTTCATCTGTGCAGTTCATTTTTGTTTTTTTAGTCGTTAAGCCGTGTCCAACTCTTTGTGACCCCATGGACCAGAGCACGGCAGGCCCTCCTATCTTCCACTGCCTCCCGGAGTTGGGTCAAGTTCATGCTGGTAGCTTCGATGACACTGTCCAACCATCTCATCCTCTGTCATCCCCTTCTCCTCTTGCCTTCACACTTTCCCAACATCAGGGTCTTTTCCAGAGAGTCTTCTCTGCTCATGAGATGGCCAAAGTACTGGAGCCGCAACTTCAGGATCTGTCCTTCCAGTGAGCACTCAGGGTTGAGTTCCTTCAGAAATTATACTATATTTAAAGCAGGCAGAAGAACCTGATGTTGAACTTCAGTTCTCTTTAGTCTTAGCCAGTGTAGACAATGACAAGGTGTGACTGGGATTGTGGTCCTACAAAATCTGGAAGGCTGCAGGTTCCCTATTCCTGATTAAAGGCTAGGATTTAACTTATAGGCCATATTGAAAAGCATCTTAGTCCCAGTTTCATACTATAAATGGTTGAATTAGTTCATTTTTATCATTATACATATACCTGTTTTATTCCCCTTTTCACATTCATGTACATTTTAAAGAGGTGCCGAGGTGGGGGGAAGAGAGAGAGAGAGATTTGCATTTAACTCAAAAGTGTGCGACTTCCCAGGGGTAGGGAGCTTCACTGAGCTTTCACGACCAGGATCTAATGGTGGTTGTGGGTTTTTCGGGCTCTTTGGCTGTGTTCTGAAGGTTGTTCTACCTAACGTTTCACCAGTCTCTGTGGCCGGCATCTTCAGAGGACAGCACACTGTGCTCTGGCAGTGCTGTCCTCTGAAGATGCCAGCCACAGAGACTGGCAAAACGTTAGGAATAACAACCTTCAGAACACAGCCAAAGAGCCCGAAAAACCCACAACAACCAGCTTCACTGAGCCTTCACCTGGGGGCACAGCTTGTGCCACCATTGCTTTCCCACTCACACACACACAGTTTATGCCCCTATAAACTGCTTTCACCCAAAAAAACTGATGACAACTGTCAGAATGTGGTGGCTGCAGCTGAAAAAGCGAAAACTGCAGTGTTTTGGACTATAACTTTGCTACTGAATTCTGGCACCAACCATTTTAGTAGCAAGGTTGTTTGGAAAGATGGAGCACCCTGGTTGCAGAATGCCCTTCTCCTCTCCATTGCCTTTATTGTGGCACCAAGTGAAAAAGCTGGTTATAACTAAACAGAGAGATCACAGCTTGGTCTTCAGTCTTGATATTTTTTTTGTCTTATCTTTTGAAACATTTCAATCATTTAAAGGTGTTGAAATCGTATTAGATTCTTTAAATGTGATTATATTGATTGTACCTCATTCTGAGATCTGTCAATATGGTAAAGATACATATATAAACAAATAAGAACAGGGCAACATGTTGCCCGATCCTGACTTACATGTATTATTAAATATATATTTATATACACATTATGTCCCAAAGTACACATTTTCTATATCAGTTTGAACCTAAAAATCACATTCAAACATTTGGCGAATTTAAAAACAACTGGATAACTAATAGCAGAACCCTACACATGTCGCCTCAGATGTAAGTCCCACCAGACCTGCAACTAGCAATTTTGGCACCCAAAATGTGTCTCCATATTGCCCACCCTCCAACAAGGAAGGCCTTGTCTAACCACAATCTTGGTAGACCAGCCTTCCATCCTGATGCAGCTTCCTGCTTTGTATCTGGGCTGGAGGAGCTATCCACTGAAACAAGGAATAAACATGCCCTCTGAGGTGGGAGGCCCAATCAACTCATGATCTGAGTAGACCCAGGCCTCCAGTTGAATTTTCCTCTGCTCCATCTGAGCCAGAGAACTGTATGATGAGGTTCAGGCAAATCTTCCTTCTGACAAAAGAGGCCTGGTCTTTTCCTGATCCAGGTAGACTTGACTTCTTTCTTGATGCTACCTCTCCAGACCAGAAGCCACTGATAGTCCTGTTTTCTGTTGCTGACAAAGTCTGGCTTACAGATCCTCTTTCTTCTGCTCCCCCTGATGGCCTGCATCTATGCTGGAGGCCTGTCATCTTGTCCTGTGGCAGGAGATAGAGCACCAGGGCAGTAAATCTGGTCATCACAGGAAGCTGGGAAGGGGTGCAATTTCTAAAAGGGACACCTGGAACAAAGACTCAGTTGCCCTGCCCTAGTTAGAGCCCTGAGTCCCACTGAGGAACTTACTTGCAGGCAAGTGTAGGTTAGGTTACAGTCTAGTTATGACCCACACGTTACTCTGGGAGATGCAGATCTATTTAGTTTGTACTAGGATTTACAAACACTGTATTTTGTACTTAATAGAATAGATATTACAAAACAGATGTTTCATGGCTTCAGTGTGTGGGTTTTTAAAAAAAACAGTTAAGTACTGGAATATAATCAGGATAAACCTGAATATATTTGTGGTCTGGCCAGTATGCATTTTGCAATCTAATTTTTGGGTGTATCTTATTGGTAAATTGCTATTCAATCCAGGAAACCCTAAAAGTAGTGCAACTGAACTGAGATTAAATTTGCATCAACATCCAGTACCAGGTTGTTCAGTCAGCAAAATAAGCGTGTCAGAATTTAACCATTGGCTATATTGTCTTTAAAGTTTAAAGAGGAAGTGAGGAAATGCAGAGGGAGAGGATTGCTACTAAATACACAGACTTTTCCGATTAAAGATGTGAAAGAATAAGTAGAACAGTGCTGGAAGTTAGCTCATTTCCTTGACCCCACTGAAATATGGGAACTTGCAGAGGCATATTTTTAGATAAGTAGTCTGACCAACACTTCTGCTCTGAGCTAGAGTTGTTCTGCTGTGGAGGGACCACCTTTGTAAACATAAGCCACTGTTCAAAAAGCATATCAAAAATAAGAGCCACTGAAGAACATGTGCATAAAGAAAATTATTGATTCAATATAGCTTAGTAAAAACCAGAAGATTGAGAGCAAAGCATGGTTCTCCAGAAGCTTTCTTTGGGTGCTACCTAGAAGAACAAGAGGAAACATGTCACTATAAAAAGTGGAGATGTAATCCTGGATGCAGTGAAGTTCCATTAAGGATGTTAGCAGACATCTGTACTGCCAGTCCATTTATTCATATCAAATCTTCTGCAGTAGAACATGTAGGATGGAGAATGCTTCTTTGCTTTACATGTCCTGGGAAAAAAGTATTCAATATGTATTGGCATAAGAAAAATGGGTTGGATATGTCAAATCTTCCCATGAACGGAGATGCTCCTACTGTCAGCAGGAGGTTTTTTATTCTATAGAGCTTTTCCACAAGTGGAATGGGGAAAGCAGATTATTTGTGTTAATTTTTCTTCTTCCTCTTCAGTCACCTACATCACCCCAAAATCTCTTGTGAGGTTTTTTTTTGGGGGGGAGGACACAGTGGCACTGGATGGAGTCAGTAAGAGGAAGGCTGATTAGCAAAAGTGGATCCATCCCACTGTATTCACACCCCACATACATACACACAGTTTAGGGGAGCTTCTCTTGTCATAATAGCAACTCCTACCCTGACTTTTTGATTATCTTGGTTTTATGCAAACTAGTGAAAGGTTACTGAAAATGATGCAGGAATGCTATGTAGGTTTTGGGAGCGGAGGAATGAATCGCGTGTCCCAGACAGCACTATTAATATACTGCAATGGTTATTATTATTAATGCTATATAGTATTATTTGCCATTATTATTATTTTCAGTCTAGGCCCACAGACTGATCAGTTTCAGCCTGTAGATGTACTTGCATAGATCTCTCTCTCTCTCTCTCTCTCACACACACACACACACACACAGAGAGAGAGAGAGAGAGAGAGAGAGAGAGAGAGAGAGAGAGAGAGAGAGAGAGAGAGAGAGAGAGAGAGAGAGAGAGAGAGAGAGAGAGAGAGAGAGAGAGAGAGAGAGAGAGAGAGAGAGAGAGAGAGAGAGAGAGAGAGAGAGAGAGAGAGAGAGAGTCTGTCTTAAGTTGCTGAAAGCAAGACCCAACAGTATAAAAAAATAATTTTCCCACAATCATCTCATCTGATTGCTGGAGGTCTAAAACTATTTATTCAGATTTCCTATTCATCTCAATAGAGGGAAGCAACTCCATTCTCATTGGAAGGAATGAGAAGCATTTATGTCAGACAGGCATGAGAAATCTACGATGTTCTTAGGAAACCACTCTCATAATCCTCAACAATCGGGCATTCTGCCTGGGGCTGATGAGTGTTGGAGTTCAATAAAATGTGAAAGGCCACATAGGTTTCTCCACCCTGAAGCAGGAGCTTAATGTTCACATTGAACTCTGTATCAAAGCAACAGCATACTGTTGGCCTGTCTCTGGACAGGCAGGCAATGTCATACTCAGGGGATTTGCTGGACTATAACTCCCCTCATCCTTTATTGTTAGTTGTGCTGGCTAAGGGTGATGGGAGATTCAGCTGACAACATCTGGGAATACATGTATTGCATACCATTGCTCTTAGAGCTTCATACATAACAAATGTTCAAAGTCTGAACTCTGCAAAAGAATCTGATAGATATTGCAGCCACAGGTTGATATCTGTCGTTGGCAATTATCTTTGTGTCAGGAGGACTTGGTGTGCTCTGAAATGTGCAGTTTTAAGCTGTAAACATTGTAGATTTGTTATTTGCAGGATTTGAAAAGCTATTTCAGTGGGATAAAAAAAATCTCTCAAGATGTTAATGTTTCCATAGACTATAATGTTCTCGTTCTATTTACACAGAATAAATTACTGAGAGTTTCTTGTTGCGTAGCTTTTGGATAAATTCTGTGCCTTCTGTCTCTTCCTCCTCCTATCACAAACTTGTTCATGTAGCTTCAGTCTTGAAATGAATGCAGCAAATGTACAGGGGAGGAAATTCTAGAGAAAGTTAAGGGTGTTCCTGGTGTTGTCTTTGATGTAAACATATTTGGACAATTGCCTTGTTCTGTTTTAATAATCCATGCTTTCACAGAGGCACCTGCAGCAAGTGATCTGGACATCCGCCCAGCATTCCGACGAGGGTGAGTATCATCACACATACTTGTACTGGCAATGTAATAGGAATGAAAACTTTTCCATATTTTTATATTTTAATATTTTACATACTCCCAATTTGCTTTCTTAAAAAACCCAACCACCCTGAACTTTATTTGGATGCTATAGAGAAAATGGGCACATTTTCATTTTTTAAAAAAAAAATTAGTTAAATCTGTTTTTATGAATACTACCTTCTTTTAACAGTCTTTAACTTGTCCTTACATAACTTTTAAATAATCACTGCACTATTTTTAAAAAATTAAATACACAAAACCAGATCTATTTGCATTGGTTCAGATGTGTAATCACTTGAACTGATGCAGAAAAGGGAGGATGTGCCACATACAAAGCAGTACTTTGCCACTTCAGCGTCTTCCCCTTGCCTCCTGAGGGAAGATGAACTGTTCACATTCACACATAAACTAGAAAAACCATCACACCAGCATGGACTTTCTCCAGCAAAGCCTCTCTCTGCAGGCGAGATTTCTTCTTCTCCTTCTTTATATAGCTTCTCCTCTCTACATGGGCAAGATTCCTCTCTCTTTAAAAAAAAGAAAAAGCTTAAGAACTTCTCTCTGGCAGCAAGTTTTCTTTTAAAAGCTAGAAAAACCAGAGGAGGAAGGCCTTGTTATAGTTTGTTAACGCAATTCCTTTTAACCACTCCACCTACAGAGCTTCAAATAAGTACAGTGGTGCTTCGTTTAATGGGTGCCCCGTTTAACAATGAATCCGCATAGCAACGAATTTTTTGCTATCGTTTTTGCGATCGCATTGCGATGTTTCTAATGGGAAAAAATCGCTTTGCGATGATCGGTAAGCTATTTCGTTTACCGATTTTCGCATAACAATGATTTCCCAACAGCTGATTGGCAGTTCCAAAATGGCCGCTGGGTTAAAAAAATGGCTGCCCGCTGAGTTTTCGCCCGGATTCCCTGCTTACCAGGCAGCGAAAATGGCGGCCGTATGGAGGATTTTCGCATAAAGGTGAGTTTTTTGCCCATAGGAATGCATTAAACGGGTTTTAATGCACTCCTATGGGCTTTTTTATTTCGCATAGCGATGAATCCGTATAGCGACGATTTTGGCTGCATGGATTATCGTCACCATGCCGGGCACCACTGTACCATGTTTACCCAACAATAAGCCAGGGTCTTATATTAATTTTTGTTCCAAAATGCATTAGGGCTAATTTTCAGGGGATGTTTTATTTTTTTCATATACAACAATCTACATTTATTCAAATACAGTCATGTCATTTTCTTCTGGTTGCTGGACAGTGGTGGAGGGTCGGTTTCACTTGACTGGGGCTTATTTTTGGGGTAGGGCTTATATTACAAGCATTCTGAAAAAAATCATACTAGGCCTTATTTTCAAGTTAGGTCTTATTTTGGGGAAAACAGGGTAATAAGCAAAGCTTTTCTCCTGTCCCCTTTGTGTAGCCACTTAACTCAGGCAGACCCAAATTCCCCTGTGCAACTGGACAGCACATGAATATGAGTGAATTCACATTCATGTTGCTGTGTAGTCATACCATTAGACAGAATTTGCATAAAAGCTGCTTGATTAGAATTCCATGCACAGACTTCTGTAGATAGGTCTGTTGAATATTTTCCTCCTGCACTATTCCTGAATGGATATAAACACTTTCCTTTCGGAGAAGACTTAATGCGAAATTTTAGAATGTAACTATTTTCAGTAGTCACAACCTCCATACCAGGTTGCTGCATTCTGCTGTTAGATATCAGATAATCCTAACACAGCAAAGGTCCACAACCCAAGAACTGTGTTTCAGCCTTACAAGTCAACGCCCCATCACTGTCCAAAACACCCAGCCATAGAAAGGCAAGAACAATACATGGTCAAATCGATTGCAAATCTGCAATAGATTTGGGCATGGTCCAGCTCATGGCAACCCTGAGTTAGGTGCTGCAGAAGGACTGTGAAAGAAAGGCCTCTCCTCATGACCTAAGATAGATTCTGCCAGTCACAGAGAGAACACATGTTAATGGCTCATTGCTTGCCCATGAAAGCTGGCAAGTTGGAAATGAGAGAAATTAGACTGAAAATGCTGGTGGAAGGAGTGGGGTTGTGCCCATCTGAATTCTGTATTTGTGACTCTGGTTTAGGAGCACAGTGGGAGGAGGAAGACGGATGACTTCGGCCTTTTCCAGGTATCTGTGTTTAACTCTATATCCACACCCAGTCCTCATTATGAAATGTCGCCCAAAGGCCCACTTAAATGAAGCAATCAAAATGTGTTGTCCATTTCATCTCTTTGCCTGTCTCATTGTTACACTAAAAAACATCTTCGTCTTTAAGAAAGCATCAGGCAAACACAAACCAATTCCTTTAGCAGGTGGCCTTCAAGAGAGATCGATTTAGTTGCAGGGAGAGAATGAGCCCGGTATGTGTTATTCTGTGAAAGCAGTGATTTCATAGATAGCCTGTGACTAAGGCAGATGGGGTGCCCCTTCAAATTTTCGAGTGATGTGCCCCAGTATCATCCTGGTCTACAAGCCATTTCTGAATGCTTTTATACTGAATTGAAGCCATGGATGCTTTCCTGTTTTCCTTGGCTTCTCCTGGATACCCATTGATTTCCTCAGATAGGTTTTTGCTGCCATTCCCACATAAACTCACAATTGCAAGAGAGGCTTTCTTTTTCCTCTATATAACCCAGATTTTATTATGGTTCTAGACTAGTGGTTCCCAACCTTTGGTCCCCAGCTGTTCTTGGACTAAAACTCGCAGAAGCCTTTACCACTAACTGTGCTGGCCAGGATTTCTGGCAGTTGCAGTCCAAGAACACCCAGGGATCCAATCATGAAGTTGAAAGCTGAAATATAATAGTCATCAATAAAACAAAAATCAATTTGGATCTTATTGTAGGCATCTTTAAGACTGAAATAAATATTTCATTTAAAAATTATCTTCATCATTTTTATAGAACTTTCAGGATATAAGTTCGGTTTTAAGTGGCCTTTTATTTTTAGAAACTTATGCAATTTCATTTTAAATATATGTATTTGATTCATAATGAATGTTGTATAAGTACACAATGTTTGATATGATCCACAAAATTCCACTTCCTTCTGCTAGTGGCAACGTACAAATTACTTGACTAAAACTCTGTGTCCTCTTGGTCCTATTGCTGGTTCTTGTCAAAATGAAAGATTCAATCCCCCCAGAATTTTGAAAATGTTAAAATGTTAATGTTGTCCTCTGAAAACCTTTGCCCCCAAAATTATTCCTTATAACTGAGGAACTATTCAGCAATGATAGAAGGGAATGAATTACTGAAATACTGTACACAGATTCAGGAAATCCATTAATTGTGTTTATCTTTAGTTATTTAATAATAGTTGTAGAAAAGAAAAACAGATTTGCATGATAGATTAGCAGGTGCAATGGAGTTAGGAACTGGGTAGGATTTCCTCTATAAATTTTCAGAACAAAAAAGAAAAAGAGAAAATAGTTAGTGGTTTTCCTTAAGTCTACTTTAACTCACAGACGGACGTCTGTTTCCTTGAGTCTTTCTGCAATCTTTAGTCAACACAGGATGATCTGGTGGAAGAGATGGAATATTTGGTGTGGATGTGGTTCATTGAATGAAAGCTCAGCATTTTTGCCTTAACAAAATACTTACACAAGTTTGTTTAAAGAGAGAATACTGTTATCTTCACCTTAGAGCAAGAGTGTAAAATCTGTGGCTAAGGATGAGAAAGAAACTAATTTGTTTCGCATTTTGCTCGGAACTTACCTAATTTTGCAGTATTTGCAAAATAACTTAGTTGTGATCTTCTTGATGTTGTTGAACCTCAAAGCAAAGCAAAATTTGCTGCTTATAAACCACCACATAGGGTTTAAAGCACTCTCTGCATGGTTTATAATCCCATGAGCTGTCCCCCCCCCCCCATGAGCTGGGAAGGAAGGAAGGTTGAATCAACCTTGAGCTAGCCATCTGTATCTGCTGGGATTGAACACAAGTCGTGAGCAGAATTTTGGAAGGTTGAATCAACCTTGAGCCAGCTATCTGTACCTGCTGGGATTGAACACAAGTTGTGAGCAGAATTTTTTACTTCAGTACTGCAGTTTAACCACTGTGCCACAAGGCTCTGTCTAACTTCAGTTCCCATCAGACCCATCCAGCATGGCCAAAGGGATGGGGTGTGATGGGACCAACACTTTGGCAACATGTGCTGCTAGATCAGCTGAAGTGTCACCCTTTGGCGCAGGTGGGGATAATCAAGGTGTTTTTTTTTAATTGAAGTTTTTTTAGCACAGTTGTGAAACTTAATTTGACCTTCAGATTTGCCATGGAATTAATTGTACCACCTACAACTTTGTGTAAAGGTTTGTGTGTGTGTTTTTTTCACTTACTGTGTTCCGCTTATGTACTGTTCACTATCAGTGTTACTTGCTTTACTGTACAGTATGGATGGACATGAAGATGGTCGGGAGTTGGATTTTAGTGCCTTGTTAAGAAAGAGGTGAGTATGAATGTCTGCAGGGCATAGGCATACGCAAAATTAATGGGATGAGAAGCTAAAGGCCAGAATGAGTTAAGCTGTGTCTTTCCCCTCCCCAATTTTCTACCTGCCTGTCACATGCCTGGGCAAGCAAAATAGTAGTCAACTGAGTGTGTGGCCTGTGTATCTCCAAGCCAAGCAAAATGACAGTGCATATTGGTTAGGCAATTTTGGATTTACATTGTGCCCCCAAAAGGATTCTGGCTGCCAAAAGCAATAGTGATTATCACTCTAGTAGTGAAACCCCACTTCAAGAACAAATCAGCTTATGTGTGAAAGACTTTTCTGAGTAAAAAAAAATTTTTTTTCTATTGGTGGAAGGATAACAAAAAAAGGGGGACCATGTTATTCTTCTCAGAGTCTTTTCATGCTAAAAGGAAGATGCTCTCTTATGAGTCCACCATATTCACCTCCAGGGAAGCTGAAACTGAGATAAGGGCCTCCACTGAAGATTTTAAAACCTGGGCTGGCTCATATGGGAGAATGCATCTTTTGAAGAGCTTCACCCCCAGGTCTTACAGGCATAGCCAGCATGTTGGATCAGGCCTGGAAACAGACCAGTAGCCACTACAGGTATCACAACACAGCAGCCACATTATTCTGGATCTATTGAAGTTTCCAGACATTTTGAAAAGGCAAGCTGATGTAAAGCATGTTACATCTGCAGAACCAAGGTCATATTTACCATGATCGCATGAGAAATATCTAGGCCCAGATATAGATGACATGTTAGCAGTGCTTGTGCAAACCAATCGCTGACAGTGCTCCTGCTATTAAGCTGTAGGCAACAGCAGTTATCAAGGAGATTGTTGATTGTTTGCAACAAAGAATGGTAATTCTTCTCCTTCTTCATGTTTTGTGTTTCTCTTTTTGTCTTTGCCTCTTTGTTTTGTCTCTTATAATTTGCCTGCCTGAACTTGCATCTCCATCTGGAAACACTTCTTGGAATTCTGATGCCTGGAACAGAGAGTAACCTTTTATTTTAATTTGTGTATAAAGTTCTTTGTAAGAAATGAAGTCAAAGGGCTATAGGATTTGCAAGATACACTCTTTTCCCCTTTCACAACTTGGAGCACCATGAGTTCCATACATTATTTTAAAATATAGTTAATAGCACTGCAAGGGTTATGAGTAGAATGCTAAATTAATGCAACTTCCTAAATGTTTTAATGCCTCCCTTCCCTTTTAGTCAGTTTTAAAATTAGAACAGGATCTTCAGTTTGTCCTTGCTGTGTAAATGCTATTGTCCAAACATGGTGATCTGGGATGAGTGATCTCATTTCCATCCCTGTATCAGCTGAGATCTCTACTCGTGTAATAGCACACCAGGGCCAAATACATTCTTCTGCATGTTGGATTATGCAGATGTTTCTTGGGTCCTTCAAATAATTAAGGTCACCTGTTTTTTTAATCATAGTATCCAGGTTGCAAACATTTCTGCTAATCATGCTTAGCTCCAGATTTAAATAACTTTTAGGGTTTTCATGGCTGTTTCTTTCCTGTGGTTAGGATCCCATGCTGCTTCAGTGATGCATTAATTGGGCCTCAGTTTAGTTATGTTGCTTTAAGTGGTGTGTAGTCACAGCAACTGGTGCTTGGCTTTATTTAATACAGTATCCATAAAATGACAACATTATTCCATTGTTTTGCCAAAGTAGTCATTATCCATTTTTTTGCTGAGCATTCTTGGCAACAAGAAGAAAAGAAAAAAGGAAAGGAAGATAGTTACCATCATAAAATTGATTGGACTTTTTTTTAATGCTATGAAAGTTTTAATGGAAAAAAAGTATCATTTGTCATCATATATTCTGTTACTAAAGTCTTATATAGAATATTTTCATTCAGATGTTAGAATCACTGGTTTGGAACCCTGGAGATTATATGGAAAGTTAGCAGTGTATCTGAACTGTAGCTGCCCATTAAAGGGCCTCTAAATAAATACTCATGTCTTTCCACTGAATTATCCCGCCAGCTGTCTTGAGTGAGGAAGCAGCTTCTTCAAGGCTGGACTTGGCTTGCAGCTGTATTTTAGACATGGTTTCTCTTTTATTAAAAAGAAAGTAATGGCAGATCACCTAAACCTAGACAGTGATCTTGTTTCCCCTGCTGTTTTGGTAACTCCGTTTAACAGAAATTAACTGAATTTATGGAAACTATATTTGAATTTAGTTTCCCTAATGTGCCCCCAGTCTTGCAGATCCTGAGGAAATTCTACAGGATGTATCACATTTGTGTTGCTTTTGTTTTGAGCCATTGCACTATTTCTCCCAAAAATGATGTAATAACTGGTGTGCAGCTTGATTTAAATGTTTACCTATGGCCAAATGAGACATGACAGCATCCACACAATTGCACTGATTTTTTTAAACAACAACAAAAAAAATAGAAAGTGCAAGAGGCCTAATCTGTATTGAGATCATGGTAGAATAAGAGTAGAGATGGCTTGTCTGATTGCCTGATTTGGCCCTTAGAAGTGAATCACAAAGAGGGCAACAGGGTTATTTCCAATTTGCTGTGCTTAATATTGCACAGTTTGTTAACCAACATAGGCTCAAACTGGATGCTACACAAAGCACATTATGAGAAACGGAAATCTCTCCAGTGTTTGAAAGAGACCTGTTTGTCACACCATGTGCTTTTTCACCCCCCTATCCTACAAATTTGCTTGTTTTATTTGGTGATTGCAAGGGGTGCACACAGGCTTCATTTTCGTATCTGTTAGCTAGAACATGGATCTGGGTAGAATCACTGTTAGCTTCTAAAAGTGTGTTGATTCTCAGCAAACTAGTTTTTAAATATTTGGTTTTCAGTGACTATTCTTTAGATCAGAAAGTAAACATTTCACTGTGATGGAAATGGGGTGCTACCTAGTATTCTGAGAAATACTAGGTTACTCCAAAAAGTAACTTTTTCCACATCTGGACTATTTATAGTAGTTGTTCCTGGAGTTATAGTCCACATTAGCAGTGATGGAAGAAGAATATGTGCTTTATATTTAGAGGACTGTAATGTTCTGTTTTGGACATCCATGTGGACAGAGGAAATCCAGGGGAAAGAATTCCCCAAACAACACAAAACCAAAACAGATCCTCCAAATGTCACATTCACAGTTTCTCACCCACACATTCAGCTAGTGATTGTCTTCCTGAAGAGCATCCTGGAAAGAAGGATACCATACTTAATATTGTTATGGGTCTTCATTTTCTGACAAATAAATCTAAATAGATGACATTGATGTAGAGGTGCCATAGACCAGGAAGAGGTCAGGAGGAAGGGAACAGTTGTCACTGTGCTGTTACATGGGATGGTGAAGGGAGACCTTGAAAGAGGTGACAGCTGACGGGTTTGACTCAATCAAAGGTAATAAGATAGGAAAGAACCATTGCTGGGGCACACACAATTATTTTTAGCTTTCCACACATGTTTAGAACACATCAGCAGCTTACATTTTTATTCAGCAGGTTCATCCAGAAACACCTTATTGCTTCCAAATTAATAGATAAAATGTTGCTGTGTTTCTATAGCTTGGATTGCACATTATGCACATTATAGGAAAAATAGTGCACTGGCGATTACCGGTAATTGGAGTCAGGATGAAAAGATGTGTGATGTAGAGGCATTCCTTCTCAAGAGTGATCTTGAGAGGTGCAGAGGGAAAGATGCAGAAGAGTCCCAGTCCAATCCCACGATTGTACCACCAACAATATTTTACATACAGTTAAGAAAGACAAAAAGTTTGGAGTAGGCAGATAACATAAGAAACTGCTGTCTACCAATTCAACCCATTGGTCATCTACACTGGTACGATGAAGCCTGACCATCAATGGTTCTCCAGGATTTGAGGCAGGGTTCTTTCTCACTGCTACCTGGTGATCTTTCTAAGTACTGAAAAGGCTGCTCCTGTTTATCCTCTGAAATAAGATTGGGATTTTTGGGGTGGGAGATGGTTCAAGTCATACATTTGGTGTGCATTCTAAGCAATATAGTTCTAAAAGCCAGGGGTGGGCACCCTGTGAACATCCAGATGTCATTGTACTCTTGCCCCTAACAGTCCCAGCATCATGATCACCTATCAGATGATATGTGAGTTGGACTCCAACAATATCTGAAAGGCTGCAGGTTCTCCTCACTCTACTCCCATCCTTACAAAATGTGGTAGAAGAATGAGCAGCATAATATCTTTTAACGTGCCCTACTACCACTGCTCCCTGATCCATTCTATTTACTGGGTTTGTGGGAAATGGTAGTCTACATTAGTTCTCATCACATGGAAATCATGCATTCTGTGAACATATGGCAGATGTAGATGGGGGCAAGTCACGCTGAGGGCAGAGCTAGCCACCCTCCTTTGGGTCAGCAAAAGGTTTGCATAGAATTCTACATGTCCACAAACATCTCTAGATTCTCTCTGTCCAGCTGGTGCTTGATGCAGGGCAGTATGTGCACATTTGGCAGAAGGTATGAAGTTTGGGGACATTGACAGGGTTGTAACTGTTCCTTCTTACCCATCTTCACTAAATATATGTTGAGACTTATGTAGACTGATTTATTGATATGATCCAATTTTTTTTTGCAAATAATGCCAGATATCCTGAAAAATACATTAAACCTCATTCAATCTCTAATTCCTTTACTGTTTCATTCCTTCCTATCTCAAAAAATTTACCAGAGTAGCTAACTTACGTTGAAATAAGAATGTGTACACAGCTTCACCATTGCAAGCAATTTTAAGTCTTGTTTTAATCTGTTAATTCTACTTATGGTAATCTTAGCAAAGCATAAACTCCACTGCATAAGCATTGATGCAGACTGATAAGAAAGGCTTTCCTAAAAGTATGTCTTTTGCTAACACGAGTATGTGTGTTTTGCTTTTTCCAGCGATACTAAGCCCCACTGGTTGAAATGGGTGGCCTCTGTGTAAACATTGCAAGCACATCACTGTTTGTATGAACTCAAATAGAAAGATGTCTTCGGGGAAAATGTCAGGTTTGGGGAGTGGGGAAGAGGAGGATGAACCAAGGCTTAGCCTTTTTTTTTATTGGTAGAAACGATAGAGCTTAAGAGTATATAGAATTGAGCTGATGTGCAGCAGCTTCTGTGCCTTATATTGCACTACCATAAATCCTTAGTTTCCCTGCTAAGGAAAGTAGGCTTGCTCTTGTGATGGCTGCTAATGCTAATACATGTTGCCTTTTTTCTTGCTCGTGGGGATGCTGCATGGTTCTTCCAAATATTTCTCTGCATCGTTCTCAAGTCCAGCAGTTTCTTGCGCTCAGTAAATCGGTAAGCTTTTCATTAAATGTTCTCTGCTAATTGTCAATCAGTATCTTCCAATCAGTGTCTTCTGCCAAAATAACACAGAATATTAGTAGCATCTTAAAATAGGGATGCCAAAGTTCAAGCTTATGAGATCTACAAGTATTTCATTTTTTGCTACAACCCTGAGATACAGCAACCTGGTACAAAAGATACTATAACTGGCAGAACTTTGAGATTAAGGGTTAATTTGGATTAAAAGAATGGAATGGGATTCACAGACCTTCCACATCAAAACCTGTTCTTGGTCATTCCAAGCTTTCCGAATGTCACAACATACAATTGTGGGAGAAGAGGAGGTTTTTGTTGCTATTGTTTTTGCAGCTGCTGGGCATCAGAAAACCTTTCTGATCTACAGAAGGTTCCTCAGAGACCGGCCTGTACTTCCATAGCCGTCTTCTGGTTGCCCCTGTCTTGAAGACCAATGCATTTATTATAGCCAATGCTTTTATAAACTAGAGTTATTCTCCAGTCAGCTTAAGTTTGTAATATAATAAATGCATTTCTCGTAAGGTGTCCCTTTTGTCAGTTTTCTTAATAAGTATTTGTGCTATAAACCAATCTACATGTTAACTACTGCTTCTGGGTAAGTTATTCAGTTGGGAGTCTACATTTTATATTATTGTTCCATCTAATATTGTTTTTAAAATCCATAGATAGTTTTAGAGTTGTTAAGTCAGTGACAATTCATTCCATAAAATTTCAAAACCAGAACTTGATGCCAAGAAATGAGTCTTTATGATGTCACAGGACAAACGTCATATCACAAAGGTGGGTCTTTGTGATATCACAGAGCCAAGGAATAAAACGTGGGCCAAAACTGCTGCTGGGCTACCTGATTGTTGAAATAGACAGGAGGGGGAAATATGACCAGAATCCACATAGAACACAGCTAACCAGCTAATGGGCCAATCCAGAATCAAAGAGAATGCATTTTTCTTGTTATTGGCCAGATAGATTCGGGGTGGTGGTGGTCAGGAACTGCAGCAATGCTGCTATTCTCACTAGAACTCTTGAAGGCTCACTGTCAGCCCACTGTCAGTATTGTGTTTCTGTGATGTGCCTTGCCCCACTGCTACCAGAGCTTGTGCAACAAGAAGGCTCATAAGTCTCTGTGCTGGTGCATCACTTCCTTCTTGGCTTGAAATGACTCCATGTGCCTATGTGGATATACTTTTTGGTAGTCTCCCAAGTCCCTTGCACTCAATTTTCAGAGCATAAATGCTGTGGAAGTGCAACAGACATACAAACACCTTTGTACTTAGCCAGTAATCCCAGCCAGGAAGGAGTAGAGATGGATGCCCAGACTTTAATGCTATTCTACACACAAAAATCACATGCTTGACTTATCCTACAGTGCTTACCATGGGAGTTGTCCACCTCCTGCATTTCAGGAAAGCATAGCAATACCACATGCATTCAGCTGTCATTGTGAGAACCTTAAAAGTTCCACTTAAAAGTGTCACTTTATAAAGAAATTACCACCCAGATGTTGTAAAAAGAAAAACTAAATTAGTCACTATCCCATGTATAATAAAACAATAACAACAACAATAGGCTGAGGCAGGTGTCCCACAGAAACCCCCACTCAATGATCCCTTTAAAAGCAAAAAAAAAAAAACAACAACAGGCTGCTTATATACAGCCCTCCCCCAAATCACTTCAAGCCCTCTCTGGGCGTTTTACAAGTTAACTATGCCGGGTACACGTTGTGTGTCCCCCCACCCACCCAGCGAGCTGGGTACTCAATTTACCAGCCTCAGAAGGATAGAAGGCTGAGTCAGCCTTGAGCCGGCTACCTGGGATTGAACCCTAGATTGTGAGCGCAGTTTTAGGTGCAGTACAGCAGTTTAACCACTGCGCCAAGAGGCTCTAGACCAGTGGTTCTCAAACTGAAGTCCCTATATGTTCTTGGACTGCAGTTCCCAGAAGCCTTCACCACTTGCTGTGCTGGCCAGGATTTCTGGGAGTTGCAGTCCGAGAACATCTGGGGACCCACATTTGAGAACCGCTGCTCTAGACAGTCTTTGTGTAAAAACCACAGAGAAAGACTGTCTATTTCTTCACAAGCTGACCTCCATTACCCTTATTCCAAGGCAGACAAGACTGATGCTCTTAAAGAGCTGGTTTAGAAATCTGAAGTGAAAGTCCGGTTGTGTTGGCTACTCCAAGTCTTTCCTGAGGAAATACCAGTAGGACAATCTGAGCACATTTGCATGAAATGGTAAAACAGAGCCTGAATCCAGTTACTGGTCCCAACTAAAATAGATCCAAGTAAAACTAAAGTTAAATCATCACTTATGTAAACCATATGGTTCCAAAGGGTCTACTCCAGTTGGGACTATCAGTTAGGCTTAGGATTCCTGTCTTACTTTGAATGAGCAGGATGCTGATAAGTGTCTATTTGCTTCCTCTATTCTTCCTGCTCACATAAGCAAGCACATTTATTGAAAGTTCCAAACCAAGGATCGTAGTTTGTTGTTCTTAAACTAATCAGGGTTTGGAAGCCAATAATAAATTCTGGCTTCTTGCTGGAATAAAAAATAAGGTTTTTTTAAAGGCAGATCCTGGGTTTGGGAAGTACAGTAAACAATTAATGTCTTGTTAGTTTATTGGCTTCAGTGAGTGGGAAGAACAAAGTGGAAGTAAGCATGCACCACCCTAAATCCTGACTTACTGTGACGTGTAAATGCAGTCTTAGTTTTTCTATGCCTTAGGTGTCCCGATCAAAAATAGACAGCTGAGCAGATCGACGTTTTAACCAAGAAACTGTAAAATTTCAGGAATTATGTCTTTGGTTCTACAGAGATATACAAATGGGAGAATCTTCCTGGATTATATAAAAGCCCTTTTTAATAGAATGCTGTATACTGCTTTTTGGTAGAAATGAAGCAAAAACTGAATCACAGCCAGAAGTTGATGTCTGGGAAATCCTTCGGAATGCTCCTCCTTCAGAGTACGAGAAAATTGCCTTCCAATATGGCATCACTGACCTGCGAGGGATGTTAAAACGCCTCAAACGTATGAAGAAGGAGGAAAAGAAAAGCACATGTAAGAGGACGGTTTGGATTCCCACCCCTTCACAGTAGCCCTCAAACTCTTCTATTATTTAGAAAAGGAATCATAGATCTTTTCAAATGTTCATGTCACTTTCCCCGCTTCTGTTTATTATAAAGAACTGATTCTAGAGAATTGGAGCTGGTGGGGACAAAAGTGAACAGGGTCACGAGTAGAAGGGGACAGATAAAATGTAGACATGATTGTGAGAGCTTAGGAGTGTCTCGTGAAGAAACGTAGCTTAAGCAAAAGGATGGAAAAAGAGGAGGATCTCATGGTTGCTATCATTATGCAATAATTGTTTGCAGATTATTTTATAAGCAAATGTTCCCACTGAATTTCAAAAAAACAACAAAAAGATAAACCACTGCACAACCACCACGTATCAACTAAGAGGAGATTAAAATAATTATGTACTGTCAAGTCTATTCATATTTATGGCAATCCTTTTCAAGGTTTTCCAAGTATAGAGTACAACTCAGAAGTGGTTTACCATTCCTTTCTTCTGGGGTTGTTCTGGGACCATGCAGCTTGCCCAAGGCTACACTGACTGGCTTATCTCTTGGGAGACACAGCAGGGACTGGAACTCCCAAACTGTGGTATCCAGCTTGTTAAAGTATCCAGCCTGCAAGCAAAGGCTGTGGTTCCGAGCAAAGACTTTTACATTTGCCCTGTCGTATTAGAATTTTGTACTGTTTCCATCTGTTTATAACATCTGTTGGGTGATATTCAGATAACTCCTCACATGAACAGTCCTCTGAAGATGCCGGCCAGAGAGACTGGCGAAATGTTAGGAAGAACAACCTTCAGAACACGGCCAAAGAGCCTGAAAAAAACCACAACAATCATCAGAACCCTGGCCGTGAAAGTTTTCAAGAATACATATGTCCTTTTTTTCTTTATGACAAGCTTTTTATTACAACCCTGATTTATTGATGCTTCACTTCTACCTCTGTCTCCTGCTGTTCTGAAATCTTGTTATCTACTTGTATTTTTTAGCCAAGTGAACAATGAGCAGTGACTTCTACCTCTGTCTCCTGCTGTTCTGAAATTTTGTTATCTACTTGTGTTTTTTAGCCAAATGAACAATGAACAGTGACAGTCATGGCAACTGGACTTCCTTCTTGTTAGGCTAAAATGTTTCAATACTGATCCAAGCAGCTTCTTCAGTCTGATGAGAGTTGGTAGGAGACCACTGATATATCCTCCATGTTGGTTTCACTTTCCCCTGGTCTGAATAGGTTCATTAGAAGGACAAAGGATTGGGGGTGAGGGATAATCCCACTTCTGCAGGTCTTCTCCACCCATTGTCATGAGTTGTTAACAGTGGTCTTTCTGGTGTGTTTGGTCCTGATCTTTCTGGGAATAGATGAAAGGGCAGCATGATAAATAGGAGACAGATTGTATCCAGGGTCTCCACCCCTGATGAGTGAGGGATTTTCTATATGCACCTGTATGGACTCCCTGACCCCTTTCTCATACCACCTATCTTCTTGGGCCCAAATGAGTACAAATGAGTGTCCTTTGTCCTTCAAATGAAGGAACACTGCTAACTGTAGTCCTGAGCCATTACCCCTCCTGTGCTGGGCCAGTCTCCTGTTTAGTGGCTGTACAGGAGGGGAAATAGGACCACACACACACCAGAAATAACACTGTTAATGACCATTAACAACCCATGACAGTGGGTGGAGAAGGACTGCAAAAGTGGGATTATCCCTCACCCCCAGTCCTTTGTCCTTCTAATGAGCCTATTCAGACCAGGGCTAGATGAAGCCAATGTGGAAGATAAATCAGAATTTATCTTGGATGAGTAGCAAAATGTTTCAACCTAACAAGAAAGAAGTCCCATTGCCATGACCCAACTTCACCTGGATGACTGAGAATCTTCACAGATATAATGAACAGTGACAATTAAGAGATGAATGCTGTTAATTTTCTAACTTTCTCAAGTATTATTTTTAACTCTTTGGAAATGATTTTGTAGATAAACTCCAGAATATTGAAGGATATTAGAAAATGTTCCATTCCTCTCTTCCTTCTTAAATTTGTAGTGGAAAACTAGCAATGTTTGAATAGGACAAATTATGATGTTGTAAATGCCTTTCCCCTAGCCTTTGTCAAGAGGCTGGATCCTGCCTACCAGGTTGACAAAGGTCAGAAGATCAAGTTAGTAGTGGAACTTGCTAACCCAGATGAAGAAGTGAAATGGCTGAAGAATGGGCAAGAGATTCAAGTGAGCGGCAGGTAACAGAAAAAGATAAAGCATAATAATAAAACCATCTGGACAAATACAGTACTGTAATCTAGAATGTAACTGTCCCAATTGCCCTCAGTTAGAGAAGGAGGGGGAAATGGGGTATACTGTACTTGTCAATTATCATAGAAGACAGCTGATTAACACTAATTTGTAACTGTCCCAATTGCCCTCAGTTAGAGGAGGAGGGGGAAATGGGGTATACTTGTCAGTTATCATATAAGACAGCTGATTAACACTAATTCTCATGTTCTTTGATTTTCATTTAATTTCCATATCTGGAACTGAACCCCATCGATGGATCATCACTTAGCAAGTAAGTTTTCATAGGTCTGCTTATTATTAATTTTTCTTTCTCCATCATATAAGAATACAGTAATTTTTACTGTTTTTGCCCCTCTTCCCTTCATGGATTTTTTTCCTGATGAAGATGAGACAGTTCTTGGGTGGGAAGGTTCAGATCTTAAACAATTTCATCTCTCTTTTTTTGTCTGAATCCCTCTGAACTAATATTTGCTTCATGATCTGTAGGCCATTATAGAACTTTTTTAAACCTAAGTTAGTGCTAGCTTGAAATACTGCAAATGGGATAGACCACCTCTGCTTTATCAAGTAGCTTCTGAGGAGATCTGTTCTGGTGTCTGTTACTTGTGTAAACACTGTTTGGTTGATAACACAGTGGTGCCTTGCTAGACGATAATCCGTTCCACTGAAATCACTGTTTAGCAAAATCATTGTCTAGCAAAAAGCATTTCCCCATTGGAATCCATTGAAACCTGTTTAATGCATTCCAATGGGGAAGAATCGTCGCTGTCTAGCAAAGATCGGCCATAGGAAAGAGGCTTTGTGAACCACCAATCAGCTGTTTAAATGGCTGTCTTGCGAAACTTCGGTCCCGAAAACAACTGTTTTGCGAGCGCAGAGGAAGCTGTCAAAATCGTCATCTAGCGAAAATCGGTTTGCGAAGCAGGGACCAAACATTGTCCAGCAAAATTCCCCCACGGGAAAGTCAATGTCTAGCGAAAAAACTGTATTGCGGGGTAACTGTCTAGCAAAGCACCACTGTATTTCTTAACCCACACTCCAAAAATGGACGGCTTCCTCAGCAGTCTTGTGTGGAAATCTGCAAAACGGAGAGGGATAGCTCGTGTACGCCCATCACCTAGACCAAGATGAGAACAGTAAAAAAAAAAACCTCTCTCTTCAGTGCCAGATCCTGTTACAAAGTGGCCAAGAGTGGTTGCCCTCATAGGTACATGTGTTCATATGAAAGAAGGACATTTTCTTGGCTGCTTGCAAATGTAGAACTCCTTTCCACAAGAGGCTATGCTGGTCTCCTTCCTGATGTCCTTTCGCTACTTCCTTTCCTTAAAGATTTTTTTTAAAATTCCATCTGGATTTTAATAATTTGGTAAGCTTCCTTACCCAAGGGATGGGGTGGCGCTGCAGGCTAAACCGCAGAAGCCTGTGCTACAGGGTCAGAAGACCAAGCAGTCGTAAGATCGAATCCACGCGACGGAGTGAGCTCCCGTCGCTTGTCCCAGCTCCTGCCAACCTAGTGGTTCGAAAGCATGCAAATGCAAGTAGATAAATAGGGACCACCTCGGTGGGAAGGTAACAGCGTTCCGTGTCTAAGTCGCACTAGCCATGTGACCACGGAAGATTGTCTTCGGACAAAATGCTGGTTCTATGGCTTGGAAACGGGGATGAGCACCGCCCCCTAGAGTCGGACACAACTGGACAAAAATTGTCAAGGGGAACCTTTACCTTTACCTTAAGCTTCCTTGGGTTTCTACATTGGGAAGAGAGAGAGAGAGAGAGAGAGAGAGAGAGAGAGAGAGAGAGAATAAATAAGCAGGTAAATAAATAAACCTTGCTCCTTTCTGTGGTAATACATTTAGATTCTCTTTACATTGCACCAGATACATTTTTGAGGCTCTTGGAAATAAAAGGATTCTAACCATCAACCACTGTTCATTGGCTGATGATGCAGCGTATCAGTGTGTGGTTGGAGAGGAGAAGAGTTTTACAGAACTCTTTGTAAGAGGTGAGCGTGGTTAAGTATCATTGTTGGTTCGAGATATGACAAATCCAGGTTCAAGTCTAGCCCTGTGCAATATTCTTCACCTTCAATATTTGTAGGGCAAAACACTTTAATTTTGATGGGTGTAGACAAAACCTACTTTGAAATAAAATCAACCCTTCTAATTTTTCCTCTCTCTTCTGCTGTTTTGGCACCATTTTTAACTTTATCATGGTTTTTTCATTCTTTGCCACTGTGTGACAGCTGACCTCAGACAGTCAGCTATCACATGATGAATGTGATGGCATTCAAGAGGCATGGAATCAATCAGATGTGCTTAATTTTAGGGTGGGAAATGTCTTCCACAGGAGTTGGATTACAATTCCTGTAATCCCTTACTACTGGATGCACTGACCAGAGTTTCTGGGAACCCACATCTAGAACAACTGGAGGGTCAAGAATTCCCTTGCCCTGATTGTATCACTTGAGAGCAAACAAATGTGCACTCTAAAGTGGACATTCTGTTCAGAGATTTAATTATGTATGTATGTACTTATATAATACCCTACCTTTCAGAGGTTCAAGATGCTTTACAAAATAGGGAGGGATAGATAAATTAAAATATGAAAAATACATATAAACATGGAAGAATATTAAAAGACCACTAAATTTAAATCAAATTAAAATTTTAACTTTTTTTAAGTTAAAATGAAACAATAAGACATGCATTTCAGAAAAAAAATATTAAAGAAATAAGTATGCTATATTTGTACATTGTATTATAGCTGCACAGTAGTGCAACTATGTCATTGTGCAGCAGAGCATATCAACATTTTACAAGACAATTCTATAAATGGGGGCAGCCCAAATAAAAATTATAACTTTGAAACTGGACTTTAGAGCTGTGCCAGATTTCATACAAGTATAGCAGACAGTCTGCTCCTGCTCCGTGCCAAATTTGGAGATGTTTGGGCAAATGTTTTTTGAGTTATGATTTTTAAAAATAAAACTGTTTAAACCCCCCCCCTGCAGAAATGAACAACCCTTAATGTCCCCTGATTTAAAATAGCTCATACAAATTTAAAATACCAGTCTTGATTATTTTTAAAGAGAATGGTTGATCCCACCCACATTTTTTATTTGGAAAGAATCCAGGGTGCAGAGGCCGAAATATTGATCCTCAAAAAAGGCCTTTCAAAGGGGAAAAACAACCACTTTCTTATAAGACTAAGTATGTATGGAACAAGTTTACCAGCAAGAACATTCTGTGGTTGCAGCTTCATGGGACAGGAAGGGGGATGTTTGGAGAGCAATAGGTCACAGAAACAGTCAAAAGACAGTAAAGAAAAAAACCAAGATTGCTTTACAGAAAGTAATGGAGTGCAAACTTTTATTGTCTTCTTTCTGAGAACAAATCTATTCCTCACTTCTAGAGCCTCCTATACTGATTACTCGTCCTCTGGAAGACCAGGTGGTCATGGTTGGAGAAAGAGTAGAATTTGAAGCAGAAGTAACCGAAGAAGGGGCGACTGTGAAGTGGTATGTGGACAATACTGTAAGATGGAAGCTCTATTTTCAGGTGTAATTTAAGAAATCCAAGCACTTATTCTTGAAAATACTAGAGAGATAGAAACTCTTGCTTGTGTTTGCTGCTTTTCCTAGCATCAAAATAGGGTTCAAGTACATCTCCTGTTAATGTTTGATCCTTTTTGTCTTTGCTCTAGCATAAGAACACATAGCCACAACCTAGATCAGAACCATTTAAAGTGTGCATGTGTGTGTGATAGTTTGCCTTTTTCTCAACCAGTTTTTATTTTAAACAACCTCCTCATGCATGAAGATTTTTTTAAAAGGAAAAACCTGAACCTCCCTTGGTCAATTCTGCATTTTTTCAAAAGCCCTGTATGGAAAGGAAATTTTATAATGAGGTGGTATAAACTTATTTTATTCATTGTCTAGCCTGCATCAGGGCGATACATGCTTACATTAGAATAATGTGGGGAAAAGTGGCATTTTTCATGTACAATAGGCCATATAGTTTGATGTTTAGTAAGAACAGGATCCAGAGAGAGATCCAGCTGATCTCCATTCTAAGGCAATAAGCAGAAGACTGAGGGGAGATTCCACACTGCCTGAAGGCAATAAAGATAGTTCACTTGGTTCTTCTCACTTTTTACTTTAAACATCCATGGATCTAAAGGAATGCAGACTGCCTCCAGGGGTCTGGGAACCACACATGCCCATTCTTTGAATTTGCAGGGCTACGCTCACTTTTATGTTGCCTCTCCAACCAATTTTTTTTCTTCTAAAAATGGGATTTTAAAAATGAAACCACCCCTTGTGCCCTCTAGCGGCCTGAAAAATTTTAATCTTCTTTGATTAGGGGGTACAGAAGGACACAGAAGTGCTGTGCCACTGATAATATGGCAAATTTTCCCCTCATACACCACAGAAGGCACAAAATTTGTAAACTTTTTGGGGGTGTATGAGAGTGAAGGGGGGCTAAATCTGGGACCCTGGAGGCATCACGCAGTTTACAAGCCACCTGTTGCCCACCCCTGGTCTAAAGGTTGTTTCAGAAATCATCATTTTCCTACTGATTGTTACGCACACCATTACTTTGGAAGTAACATGCAATTTTTGCTTTGTTTCGCCTTATATTTATGCATTAAAGAAAGACAAAATATAACATAGTCTATTTGTTAAGGTGGCTAAGTGCTATATGAAATGTGGTTACCTAAGGACAGAACTATATAACAAACAGACCTCTCTTTCATCCTTTGTTTGCCTAAGGTTAATGAGAGTATGGGTCGTTTGCTAGAGAAAATGAGCTGGCATTAAGTAGAATGCTTAACCATTCTCTGCACATCTGTAACCTCTGTTCTCTGAATGTTCACCATCTCTTTCTTTATATATATTCTCAAATCTTGAACCAAGAAGATCAGGTACACAGAAGAACCACAAGGGATGGGAATGTGATTTAAAGATGATAAACGTCTTTGGCATGGATTTTCCTAACAAATCTCATTCTTCTGGCCCTCCTTTTATTTTATTCAGCAGATATATGCTTGAAACATGTGTTTGGTGTTCGTATTTTATATTTTTGTTAATTACTTAAAAGTAAGGCAAATTAATAGCAGCTAAAAGAGATATATATTAGGTATAGCCATACAATTGTTATATTGCAAAAGCAAAAAAAGAAAGAAAAGGAAAAAAAGGAGCAACAAACAAAAACAAAACAAAACAAAACACAAGAGTGTCTATACGTAGACTTCTGTGAAAGGTTTCCAAATAGCAAAAAAATTAATCTATGCATAGATCTCATCTGCATGGCATACATTCATATGTCAATAGAGTATCCACTGGATTACTGATGATGGGCTATTTTTCCAAAGCTGCAAACATAGAGTTCATATATGTTGGCCTGTGGTTAATCTCCAGGAAGCAGGTATATAATTTAAAAGTACATACGCATCAGTAAAGATCAAAGATTGTTCCAGTACAACATTACTGTGAGTAATAAATAGCTCCTCTCCAAAAGGAGCCTGCAAATGGGCATAACTGCAGCAAATGACTCTGAGATGCATCAAGAGAATCACAACACCAACATTTAGATGATTTGCTCTGACCTCTTCTAAAAAGATGCCGCCATGTCCAATATATTCTAAATATTATCTTTTCTTGGATGAGTTGTAGTGTATGATTTATAGATATCTCAGGTACACTAGTGAGTGCTTTCTCCCATTGATTAGATAAAATAACGTGGTCCATTTCCTCATTCCATTCATCTTTGAGACATTGTGTATGTGTTTGGTATTATAAAATTAAGTGTCAAATGCACCTATTAAATAGAACATGTGATGTTATGTCATATTATCTTTCTCATGGACCCAAATCTTCTTACTTAGTTACACTGAATAGCACTAACGGTGTGACTTTTGAAGGCAAATTGTCCCAAGTTAATGAATCACTGTAAATGTTATTCGTTGCATACTGAATTATATGACTCAGCATGCAATTGATAGTGTTTACATTGATTTATCATCTTAGGGCACTTAGCCTTCAAACGTTACACTGTTTGCATTGCTACCCAAGAAGATTCAGGCCACTGTTTGTTACCTGTTTAAAAAGTATATTTTATTTTCTACTTTAGAGGTGGGGTGCCTTTACACTGTACTGCAGAACACGTCTACCACCTCTCTTTACACCATTGGTCTATTGTTTTGTGGATGCTGAGCTTTTTATTCATTTATCAATTTATGTTAGGGTTGTAAACAGACACACACACACACACACACACACACACACACACAAA